AATTCACAAGTGTAGGAGGAGTAGTTACCTCAGGGATATTCTCAAGAGATTGGTCTGTTGGTACTGTTGAGTTAGAGGGGGTCTTCACCTTGTTGTTCTGTATTGTCTATATGTGTAGGACTCGGATCGGAAACATATTCGCAGGGATCGGGTGGATTAGGTGATTGATTGCTATGAATGGGCAATTGATCGCTTTTCGGCAGAGAGTAATCTCATGCTCGAGGCTCGGGCCGATCGATCATTTCTGTACATAGGAGAATTTCTTCGTTTTCTAAGTTTCTCCAATTCTGCTCTTCACTTCATATCTATCCCTGAAGCGTAGAATTGGATGATGGGTCATGGAAGAATAGCTCAGATTCCAAAAAGGTCACATCCAAAGTGACATAGGTATGTCGGGTAGCAGGGTGATAACAATGGTAACCTTTCAGATGAGTGGCATAACCCACAAAAACACAACGAAGTGCACATGGATCAAGTTTGCTACTTTGATTTTTGTGGAAATGAACGAAAGCCACACATCCAAAGATTCGGGGTTTGAGTACCAAAACAGAGGGTAGGGGCCCGTGTTGGGCAAGCACTTGTAAAGGAGTCTTAAAGGTCAATACACTAGAAGGCATGCGGTTGATTAGGTGAACTACAGTGACAATAGCATCATCCCAGTGATGGTGAGGAACATGAGCGCCAATCAAAAGTGCTTGGGCGGTTTCAAGAAGATGTCGATTCTTTCGTTCAGCAACACCATTTTGTTGTGGTATCTGAGGACAAGTCCTCTCATGGATAATTCCATGTTGTTGGAAGTCTGAAAGTCATGATTGACAAATTCTCCACCATTGTCTGAGCGAAGAATCTGTATTTGAGCATTGAACTAAGTTTTCATATGTTTGTGGAAGAACTGAAAAAGCTAAAACACTTTATTTTTATTCTTCAACAAATAAAGTCATGTCATCCACGTACAATCATCTACGAATGTAACAAACCACTGAACGCCAAAAGGAGCAGTGATAGGTGAAGGTCCCCAGACATTAGAGTGAATTAACGTAAATGGAGTAGTACACTTGGCCGTACTCAACATATAGGGGCACACGGTGACTCTTGGCCAAAATACAAGTGTCACATGTGAAGTCAGAGTCCTTGAAACCTGAAAATAAATCTGGTATAAGATGCTTCATATAACTAAAAGAAGGATGTCTCAATCGATGGTGCCACAACCAGATTTGCTTTTGTTTGCTATCAGAGGGATGCGTCAACTATTAGCCATGTCGGGACTGAAGTCATCTACATAATATAGCCCCCTTCTCTTAGTACCACGACCAAGAATCTCCATAGTGTGAATATCCTGAAGCAACCAAAAACTCGGGTAAATGAGTACACAATGATTCAATTGTTCAGTAAGCTGACAAACATACATATTTATTAGATAAAGATGGAACAAGTAAAGTATTAGACAGTGAGAGAGAGGATGAGAGAGCAACAGTGCCAGCCCCTATCACAGGATAAGTAACTCCATTGGCGTTAGCAATACAAGTTCGTCGGGGTTGTGTAGTATTCAGAAAATCATCAGGATCAAACGTCATATGATCACTTGCACCAGAATCAATTATCCAACTACCGGAATCAATCTTATCCGAAGTATGGAATCCATAACCAGTACCATTACTGGTCGTATCGCGTTGTGTTCGATCTTTGAGAGTAGCCCACCATTCGGGGTAGCCATGCAATTTAAAACAAGTCTCACGAGTATGTCTCGAATCACCACAATATGAGCAATCTCGTCCATGTGTCGGGGTCGTTAGTCGAGAAGTCATAATCTGTGCAACAGAAGATGCATAGGATACAGTAGGAATCCGGATTGGGATCTGAGCCTGAGTCGGGGTCGGAGTTGGAGTCGAAGTCGGGATCTGAGTCTGAATCATAGACAAATTCGGGGTCGGAGTCATCATCAGAGTCAGGGTAGGGGTTGTCATCGGAGTCATGGTCAGAGTCATCGTCATAGTCGGGGTTGTCAAAATAGGATCTTGATTCAAGATCGGGTTCGAGGTCATCAAAATAGGATCTTGATTCAAGATTGGGTTCGAGGTCATCAAAATAGGATCTTGATTCAGGATCGGGTTTGGGGTCAAAGGTTGCATTTGTAGGAGCTGAGCCACTTGGGCACTCAACTCGGCTATGGTTGGTTGAGAAGGAGAGAATGAGTCGGTGGTGCTACCTCCATGAGGGTTGAAAAAATCATCAACCCCTAATACAGCGACGGGGGTTTGAAACTAGAGTCAGCAATTCCAAGATCGCCGCTCTAATACCATGCTAAAATATGAAACCTAATATGAGAATATTTGTTTGTGGGAATTTTTTGTGTATTCTTCTCCTTGTAAGAGGTCATATTTATAATACAACGAAATCTGAATGGGCAAGTAAATAATAAATTCCTAAATCTATTTACAGTAGGAAATCAGGAATTAAAGTAAATCAATTACAATTATAATAGGAATTCTTGGTGTGTAAGGAAAGTAAGTCAATAGTCCACAAGTAACACCAACACTCATATATGAACTAGTTCTATGTGGACAATTTTTGTTGACTTTTCCAATTTTGCTTGCTTCCTAGAGAGGAGAATGATCTTTGCTAAAGAGGATAGGGAGAAATTTAAATTTTTTTTTATAAAAAATTTATTATTATTTAATTTTTTTTATAAAATAATTGAATAGGAAATGACTCATTTGGCCTAAAAAATGCCTAAACAGTTTAGCCAAAAAAAGTTTCGACACTTTTACATTGTAACCCTATGACCCAAGAATCCTGGATTTGCCACTAATAACAGTTAAAACAACAAAGTAATTTGTCTTTCGACAAGAGAGAGAGAGAGAGAGAGAGAGAGATATGTCCTAAATTGAAAAACTCTGCAATAGCTTTACCAAAAATGAAAAACTCTGTAATAAAAACGAAAGGGAATAGGAGAGAAACTATAAAGTCTTTGAACCTTAAGTTTGACTAACAACAATCATGAAGTTTCAACCAAAAAAATAACAGTAATCATGAAGCTTGCTTAATTATTCTAATTATGTCAAGATAAGTTTTTCTTTATTTAAAAATTGAGGATTGGGGGAGACTAGGGACGATCTCATGAACAAGCTAACCTAAGCTATGACCCAGGAAACTTGGTTTTTTTTGTTTTTTTTGTTTTGTTTTTGTGACTAAATTAATATCCTAGCTTAGGCAATCCAAATGAAATCTTATTAACTAACCCCACTAGACTGACTTTTCTTCTCTCTCTCGGGATGGCAAAATAGGATTTGAAATTGACTTTGGTGTTCTTGCTTGTATGAATTATCAATTAAGGATTTTGATAAATTGATTAGTTGTTGACATGTTGATTAAAGATGTGATAAAGGCCTAGTTTCTTATTTACAATTCTGGATTTTGATTAGATATTTAACTATTTAAGTATGTTGTACTAGCATTTTGAGGGGTAAGGTTCATTATGTACCCGGTGTATTTTTTTTGTCATTAATAAAATTCACTAGTACTGTTGAGTTTTCAATAGGTTTGTATGTAAGGAAAATTTAGCCAATACCATTTTCAAATCATGAGTCAATCCCTTCTTAGTTATATTTGAACTAGTTGAGCTTAGAAAACATGCTACTCGTATATGAACTAGTTCTATGTGGACAATTTTTGTTGACTTTTCCAACTTTGCTTGCTTCTTAGAGATGAGAATGGGCATAGTTGGATTGTTGCCTTCAGCTCCAATTTGGAAGTAGCACGCTTTCTTATAAATATGCACACATATATGAGATACGAAAAACTTTGTAACATATATGAGGTTACGTTTTTTCTCAGCTATCCTTGATTAATGATTCAAGGGCGGAACCACAGCCTCGACTAAGCTGGGTTGTAGCCCAGGTAGCTTTTGAAGGAAAAACCTATATCTATATTGGCCAACAACAACAAGTCTGCTTCCTTTTGGGAAGTTTTTGAAGAAAAAAAACCTATATGGCCCCATATATGATTCTTGAAGGCTTTTCTAATTTTGTTTTATGTTATTTTAAACCAATGACTGGCATCCACGTGTAGATCATAAACGTGTAAGCTACAGTTTTGATTTATTGCTTTCTTCTTTTTGTTTAAAAGGAAATATTAGATTTTAAGCTACAAATTTTAGCTAGCCCACTTATTAAAAAATTTCTAATTCCACCCTTGTAATGATTGTCATTGTTTTTGAGATTGTATAGTTTTGCCCAAATATTAGTTCCATTTGAACTAGTTGAGATGAGAAAACATGCTACTCATATGTGAACTAGTTCTATTCAGACAATTTTGTTGAATTTTCCTACTTTGTTTGTTTATTGGAAGAAAGAATAGGGAAGTTAGATTGTTCCCTTCAACTTTAAATTCAAAAGTAGCATGGCTTTTAATATAGTATATGAGATGTGGATAACTTTGTTGACTCTTCTTGTTAATGTGTTTCTTAAGCTACGTGTTTTCTCAACTATCCTTAATTAATGTGTTGTTATTGTTTTTGGGTTTGTATTATTTGCTCAAACACACTTAGTTATATTTGAACTAGTTGAGATAAGAAAACATACTACTCATATATTAATCCGTTTTATGTGAACAAGTTTGTTGACTTTTCCTACTTTGTTTGCTTCTTAGCGGAAATAATGGGAGAAGTTAGACCGTTGCCTTCAGCTTTAAATTAACAAGTAGCACACCTTTGTATACATGCACACACACATATATGAAATGTGGACAATGTCATTATCCTATTGCGGGATTATGAATTTTGGCATCCAATCACAAAGTGACACGTAAAAAGGAGAAGATTTCTTAGGTCAAATAATTGTGTTAATTAAATCCAATTAAATTAACAAATTATCTTCGATTTAAAATAAGAATATCTCCTTAAATCAATGATCTAATTCCCAACAAATCTCCTTGATATTATCCTATCATCCCATTTAAAGAAAAGATAATTCCCTTCTATATTGGAATTAAAGAGAAAACTCCCATTAAATCCCATTAAATCCTTTTCTACCTCGGAAAACCCTGGAGAAAACTCTCTCTCTCTCTCACCCAGAAACACACTTAGGTTAGGTGGGGCAATTTGCGAGCCACTTGTGGTTTCTCAAATGACTTCAAAATTGCAAGTTTCCTTCCATTTCCTCCTGAGAAGACCTAACAAATAATACACTTTTTGAATTTTATAATCCTCGTCTGGTTGATAGAATGGTAGCAACAAAATCATCCATTGCCTTAACAAAAGATCCCTTGTCTTCAGCCTCCTCCCTTATTGCTGCTCTTATCTGCTCCTTAATTTCACAAGCCTTTTCCCTCATTTCTCCTCCTTTGCCACTTTTGTCCATTACCAAATCTATCAGTCTCTTCACCTCCTTCCGAGCAATATCACTCTGCCCTCCTCTTGTCAGCTCCACACTCACACCCATCTCCTCCACCAACATCTTTGAATTAAACGCTTGCTCTGCTCCCAATGGCCACCCTATAATTGGCACGCCCTGGCTTAAGCTCTCCATCACTGAATTCCATCCACAATGACTAACAAACACACTTGTGGACTTGTGTGACAAAATCTCCAACTGCGGTGCCCAGTTGTGCACCAACAACCCTTGTTTTCTTTTGCTCATTCGATCTTCGAATCCTTGGGGCAACCACTCTACCCTGAACTCTCCTTTCAGGTCATATCCCACAGGAGGTCTTATGACCCAAATAAAAGGCCTTCCACTTTCTTCTAAAGCAATAGCCAGCTCCATCATTTGGGTGGCGCTGATAGTGTTCTGGGAACCAAATGAGATGTAGATAACAGAATCCGAACCATGCGAATCGAGCCATTTAAGGCATGTTTCAGCAGGTATGCCCAACTCTTTTCCTGCACGCTGCCTTGAAACACTTGAATCCAAAGTCGATGAGTTCTTTAGTGCATCTGTAGGAAGAAGAGGTCCAATGGACCAAACAGGAAGCCTCAAGTAATTCCTCAAGATCTCCAATCCAAAGGGCTCAATTGCCTCAACAGTACTACACAGCCAACCAAAAGATTTCGTAGAAAGTGAAATCTGGGGATGAAAAATTCTAGAGCCAGAATCTTTACCATCTGCAGCTTTTAAATATGGATTCAACTGAGAGATATGGAAACGATAACTCTCTGGAAACCCTGGCATCGGGAACTCATCTGAAGCTGTACAACGGTGTGTGAGGCTAAGCCAAATAGACACCAAGGCTGCAGAGCCATAGGCACCACCTGTAGTGAAAGTCACATGCACAGTGCTTAAGTT